GTAATAAATATCTGAGATGGGATCTGGATTCAGCTCTTCTGACTCCATAGCCAGTGTTCTTCCTATTCAAGGGGTTATGACTATAAATTAATATTTCACTCAACAGGCTGGTAATTTATCTGTAATTTCCACTCAGAGAGTTGATTGGGGGCAATGAGAAGTGACGTAACTTGTGGAGGGTCACAAGCTTATGTAGTATATTTAAGAGGAAAGACTTTAACCAAGGTCTTCCTGACTCTGAGGTCAGCCTTCTATCTACCGTGGCACGCTGCCTCTCACCAAGCAGACCAGAAATTATACATTCAATTAGGTGCTGTCTTTCAGTTGTCAGTCACCTCAGCAAACTATATTTCCTATTTATCCTGTATGTAGCTTGCTTTGTCTATATTTGTTTGCATGTTGTCTCTTCCATTAGAATGTAAGCTCCTTGAAGGCATGGACTGTCTTTTGCCTCTGTTTGTGTCTCCAGCACCTAACATAGTAGGCACTTAATAAACACTGATTGATTGATCAAACCATACACGTACTCCAATGATGTTGTTGCTATTTGCTCAAAGCCTTAGGGGAAATCCTCTTTTGAAATTATCTTCACATCTGGTTCCTGAGCTACACAAGAAAATTATTCTCATTATTCTATGGTAACACTGAGTTTATAAACCAATTTGGTTACCCATTTTATTTGCTAGTGTTGGCTCCAAAGGACTTTTGGCTATTTTTTTTAATCCAACTCACAGCTTAAAAGAAGATATATAACCAAAATAATATTCTCCAAGGTTCTCAAAGCAATTCCAAAAGAAGAATTCAAAAAAATATTTTTTGGCAATGGCAGCATCACTAGAATAAGTGCACAGCCTCCTGAGGTGACTACCGTGAAAGAGAATAATGCTGAATGTGGATATTGAAGCTTTGATGTGTTTGTTTAAAATGTCACATTACTATAAAACTGTACCTTATCTAGATTTGCTCTCTTGAGCTTAAGTAGTTCCCCCCCCCACTCCTTACATTTTGTTTTGTTCTGTAAGACATATCATATAGAGAGGAAATGGAATATTGTGTCCTGGCCATGGAATTCAAAAGGCCTGGGTTCAAATCCTGCTTCTGACACTTAACAAAGTTTGGTTTCGGCTGTCATACTATTATTCTACAACTGGATGTGGGCCTAGATAGATGGAAGAGAGAATGGCTAAGTAATCATGGTCAAGTCATTTAACTTTTCTAAAGTTCAAGCAGCTCTTTAAGAATTAGGAGGCTGCAATCCACACCAAGAGGGCAGCACAGTAGATACAGTAGCAGGCCTGGAGCCAGAAAGATTCATCTTCCAAAGTTCAAATCTGACCTCAGACACTTAATAGCTATGTGACCCTGGGCAAGTCACTTAACCCTGTTTGCCTCAATTTCCTCATCTTTAAAATGAATTGGAGAAGGAATAACAAACCACTCTAGTACCTTTGCCAAGAAAACCCCAAACAGGGTCACAAAGAGATGAACATGACTGAAACAACTGAACGAACAATAAAGAACACCAAATTCACACTGATGAAATCACAGATCCTGGATGTATTGACGCCTATTCTGTATTGTTTCGTATTATGGTTATAGGTATATGAATCCTATCGCCTCTGGGAGGCTCCATAAGGCCAAGTACTGGGACTGGAAAGATTCTCAGACGTTATAAGATCTAAGTCATCACAAATTTAGAGTTGAAAGGGGCCCATGGAGAGAATCGAGTCTAAGTGTTCACAGATTTGGCAGCTGAGGCCCAGGGAAGTTTAAGAGACTTACCCAAGGCCACGAAGGCAATGTCAGATGCATGATTTGAACCCAGGTCCTTGATTCCAGAGTCAGTGTTCCTTCCACTGTATCATTCTGCCTCTCCCCCTCATTTTATCAATGAAGAAACCACGATTCAGAGAAATGAAGAACTGATTTGCCCAAGATCATGCAGATAGTAACATGTGGCCTCAAGGCCACTGGTTCCCCATACCTGGTAAAGAAGCAAAGCCAAGATTCAAATCCAGGTCTTCTGACTCCAAATTAATACTATTTTCCTTCTGCCTCATGATCTTTCCCTTAACTTAAGTTTCTTCTCTAGTGTCTAGATAAGTGTTCCGAATACAGTAGGTGCTTAAATGTTTCTTGCACTAAATTAATGAGAAAAAGTCAAATAAATAGACATTTAGGGCAGTAGATCCTGGGTTTGGCATATGGTTCTGACTACTGCACACGTTATGGTTTGCTTCACAAAACAAAATGCCTCCTCAAAATCTATGAAACATCTTTTTGTAAAGCAAATCATATTTTCCCTTTATTTCAATAAAATAATAATTTCAGGGACATACCTTCATGGAAAAAAACATTGCCAGAATTTCCCCGCTTCACCTTAACATATTATATTGCTCAACATGTGACAACATGTTCCTGATTGTGACAACCAGCTTCAAGTCTTAATACCTGTCAGACATTGGGAAATGTCTCAGGTGAATGGATGTCTCAAGTGGAACACCCACCCCTACTACAACCTAGAAACCATCCAAAGGAGATTATTGGTATTGCAAACATGTCAAATGGCTGAAGCGTAGACTTGTGGTAGGAAGATATATAAAAATATCAATGTGGTAGAGTGAAAAAAGTCAGGTTCAAATCCTGGTTCTAACTCTGGGTCTCAGTTTCCTCATCTGTAATATGAAAGATCTATGATTCTAAATCTATAATTCTAACTAACAACAGAGTCCACACCCAGGGACTAGCTAGAAGCCCTGCAGTTGTATACAGTAGATGTTACTCCAAAGAACCATACTTGTAACATGATTATCCTGATACATTATGGTCTAAAAGTCTAAGTTCAGTTTTAAGCTGTATACATAGAAACCATCTAATATAGCCCCTACATTTTATCCCTAAGGCAAGTGAAGTCCAAAGAGATTAAATGACCCAGTCGATATCACAGATAGTGATAAGGTTTCCTCTGATGCCAAATCCTGTGCTAAGGTGAGAGAGGGAGGGAAAGGAAGAGAGAGAGTAAGATAAAGACACAGAGAGAGAGACAGACAGACACATAAAGAAACAAGAGACAGAGAAGGCAAGGGAGAGGGCCAAGAAAGAAGGGAGAGAGGGAAGAGAACACTTTTGATTATTTGAATTATGGAGGGGAGGAGTGTGGCTAAAACAAATAACAGGCAATCCAGAGGATTTAGGCAAATATACAATTCCCAGTCTTTCATTCCTCAGTCCATGCCCCACCCTGACCAGACCAGCGCGCAGGATTGCTCAGTGTCAGTAACACAGGATACAGTTGGTCAGTGGTGGAATACAGTCTATTAATAATGCCTGACAAGGACAACCCATTTGAATATACAGTCAGCTTTTGGTTATCTTCTCTAAATCTATATTCCCAATCAACCATGTTGGAGTAGTGTCATGAAAAATCCAAAAAGTGGATAATTAATTTTTATTTGACTGATTTGGAACGCTGTGTGTATAGGACTGTTCCTTAGCTTTAACTTCCTAATTATGGTGTGTTTAAACTGATTATTAAAATTAGTGGGTATTCCCTGGAAACACAATGATTGGGATGTGGAGAGAGGAAACCTTAAAGAATGTTCCCCACTGGGGAGAAGATGAGTCAGGATCAAAACTAAGGTACAGATAATCCACATGTGCATATTAAAAACTGGCTAGAGACATTTGCAAAATATCTTTGTAGACAGATTTGGAGCCAGGAGGACAGACCTGTTTTCAAGTCCTGGTTCAAGTCCTGACACAAGTTGGCTGGGAAAGTACTTAACTTCACAGTGCTCTAGGTAACTTCTAAGACAGCAAGAAGCAGGTGTTGGCCTTCTTGAGTAGAGGAAGTGACCACTCAGGAGCTACCTACACCAATGAAATCACAGATCCGGCCTTTCACCCTAACTAATACACATTTCACTAGGTTAAGTGGCTTCCCCGACACATAATAAGTAGCTTGGCTGGAATTCGAATCCAGGTTCTCCGTGTGCATACACTTGCTCACATTCAAATCGGTTTGTACTAGCCATTTTCCAAAAAGTTTTCATTTCTGAGGTGGAATTATAAGGGGAAGGGCTTGTGAAACTGAGATAGGTATAAATTATCTAAGGTAGTTTGGTGTTTTTGTTTATGTATTATTACACCGAAAGTGAGACGCTCCTAATATTAGAGGATATTTCCATCTCCCAAGAGGCATTTGTAGGTCAGAGTTAGGTGGTCCATCTTTCTGACTCCAAGTAAGCTCACACCTAAACTGCCTCTGACTACTGTGCAAACACAAGGGGAAAGACCAAGCTAGAACTAGGTCTTGGAAGAAAAGGGGGGCGAGGGTGGGGCGCGGCCCCTGGGGGTGGACCCGGCTGGTGCAGCGGGATCCTCCCCTCCTAGAAAGAAGTGGACGGGCGCTTGACAGATGCTCTGGGGATTCACCACTGGGCTCCTCGCCTTACCTGGGCTCTGCCCGGGCTAGTCACATGAAGTAACTCCTTTCCTTGAGGACCCCACTGCCCCTATCCTCTGTGAAAACTGTGACTCAGTCACGGCAGAGCCCTGCCCACCTCCTCCGCACTTTCAAGTTTCCAGTCTTGCTACTCCAATCTCCCCTGCACTTGGCATCTTCAAAGTCAACTCTGCCCCCCTCCATGAACCCCTAAATACTGCCCCCTGCAGTGCACACCCTCCCTCCAATGAACTCCTTTCCTCTTTCCCCAGGAGCCACACCCCTCCCGTACCCCAACCCAGCTGCTACTTTTCATGCCTCTTCTGTGGCCCTTTCCCCTACCTCTCTCCCTGTCCCCCGTCCCCGCCCAGGGCGTTCTCCCCGAATGAACTCGGGGTCCCCCCAACAGAAGCACCGCTCTGGTGGAAGCTCAGCTGCTTCCTCAGTCCTAGCGCCCTCCCCCATGCCCGCTGGGTGCTCCCCGACATCTCCGTGCCGCCCTTCCCCCCGCAACCCCCCCCCCCCACTTCCCGAGCAACAAGCGGCTAAGACTCACCCCGGGCAGGAAGGCGGGCAGGCGGGAGCAGCAGCAGGGAGCCCTCAGCACTGGGTAAGCCCAGCCCAGCCCTGCCCTGCCCAGCCCTGCCCTGTCCAGCCGCGCTCCTGGCTCCCGCGCCGCTGGGCAGCGCCACTGCTCCCTGGGCACAGAGTGCGCCGGCAGCAGGCAGGCACTGGATAGTGGATGCTGCTGCCTGGCAGCTAGGGACAGAAGGAGGGTACCCTGGCGAGGGCGGGGTCAATCGGGGCTCCTCCTCCTTCCCAGAGACCAGTGGGGGGCGGGCAATGGTATGGGAGTGGGGGGGGGGGCTATCACAAGTGCGCCAGCCCTACAACCGCTAAGGCTGATGGAGGAGGAGGAGGAGAGGAGGAGGAGGAAGTTGGCTGTTTGTCAGTCTGGCTGACAGCCAGTCCCAGGGGCTGCCTTCTCCTCCTTCCCTCACTCACCCCATTCTGGGCTGCAGAGAAAGGGACAGCACACCAACTTTTCACCTTCTTTTTTAAAGTAAGCTACTACTTGGGCTTGTAGGGTACAAAGTGCCCCCCTAGCAACAACCTCTCCCCCAGGTAGTTTTTCTTTTTGGGGGGGGGAGGGATATTCATGTGCTTTTACATAGGAAGTGGGACGCTGCTAATGGGGATATTTCCATCTCTTAGTGGTTCAGCAACTTGTCCAGCATCACACAACCGGCATGGGGCAATAGGCTGACCTTGAACCCTCCTGACTTGGAGGCCAGATCTCTCTACTAAACCACACTGCTCAGCCACACTGCTCAGCCACACGGCTAAAGTAGTTAAGACATGGATTTTTTTTTTTTTTTAATCATGGCCATTTGACAGGGGCGGGAACTGTGGCTAAGAAAGTGGAGTGACTAACATTGAGTGACTTCCCCATGGTGACAGGGCTAGTAAATGGCATAGCCCTTCTGAAACTGACTCTTGGAGTCTTCCTATGGAAGTGATAATCAAGTCTACCGACTGTGTATTTGAGCACATTTCACATTTCCACCTGTCCTTCATTCCAAATACCACCAGAAAAAAAGGGGTGTGTATGTGTGGATATGCATATTTGAGCAAATTTCCCCCACTCTGCTCCAAATACCACCAGAAAAAAGGGTGTGTGTGTGTGTGTGTATTTGAGCACATTTCCTCCTTTCCTTCATTCCAAATACTACCAGAAAAAAGGGTGTGTGTATGTTGTGTGTGTGTATTTGAGCAAATTTCCCACACTCCATTCCGAATACTACCAGTAGAAAGTGTGTGTGTGTGTGTGTGTGTGTGTGTGTGTGTGTGTGTGTGTAGGAGGGTATGGGGGCTGGAGAACAGGTTGTAGCTCCTTTACTTAGGCCTGGTCATCTGGCTTGTGTAATAGTGCAGAGGGAAAAAGATTAAATTTGAAAGGTAAGTTCAAATAACAGCTCTGCCACTTACTAACTTGTATGACCTGGGGCAAGCTATGGCACCTCTTTAGGCCTTGGTTTCCTCATCTTTAGCATGAGAGGATTGTACTACATGATCTCCAAGATCATTTCCAATTTTAGATCTATGAAACTTCACACTGCATTCAGTCAGGTACCAGACATCACAGACATTCCTATTTATAGTCACCCTACATATGAATCCCTGTTCACATTAAAAACACATACCCTTCTTCTTCAATTTTTCAACCCAACAAACATTTCCTGAAATTGCTAGTAGGAGGAAAAGAGTACTCATTAGCTTTGAGGTTGGAGGCCCTCTGGTCAGATCTTGCCTCTGTCTAGATCCTGCCCCTGTCACTTACTAGATGTTTGATTGTGGTCAAGTCACCTTACTGCTCTGGGCATCACCTGTAAAATGAGGGAGCTGACAAGTCACATTGTTAATAAGGGCATAGCCCAGAATAAAACCTCAGAATAAGATGTCCTTTCCAGCTCTAAATCTATAATCTATGTAGAAAAGATAAAGTTCCTGTCCTCAACAAACTTATAATTTAATATTACCTATACAACAGAAAGAACGTGTTTAATTAAGCTCATAAGGTTATATCCAAGGATTTTCTTTTCTTTTCTTTTTTTGGAGGAGGAGATTAAAGGAAGGAGAACAAAGAAAGGAGAACTACTTCCCTCTGTATTATCTGATATGTATATTGTCTCTGATTTGTTTCGCTACTCATTTAGATAAATGAGTTTCTTTTCCAGTTGTTATCCAATGTGGAGCTAACAGCTACTGGGAAAGGGGTCAAGCCTTGGATGTAGAATTTAGGGTCCTCCCCCATAATGAAACAGTCATCAGATGTTATCTTTGTCCTCCTTTATGGAGGAGGTAGCATTGTAGCTTGGACTTGAAGGATGGGTTAGATTTTTAACCAGCAGAGATGGTGAAGGGGAGGAGAAGCATTCTATTTTTAGAAACAGTAAACAAAGTTGGGGAAGTATGAAAACCTTGAAAGTGTTTGCACAAAGAGGGATTTGGTGTGACTGGAGCATAGGATAAATGAAGATATGTTATGTCAATGAAGCTGTAAAAGTAGATGGCATTGAATTGTAGTCTTAAATGTCAGGTTAAGGAATTGGGAGTTTATTCAATTAAGCAATCAGGAGCCATGGAAGGATCTTTATCAGTGGTGTGTATGATCTGATGGGTGTATATGGAAGTGTAAGCTGGCAGTGATATGAAGAATGGATTGGAGTTAGTAAAGACTGGACAGTTTTAGTAAAGCAGGTGGTTCGACAATTTCAGCAAACCAGGTGAGAGGTAATGAGACCTGGTTGTGAGGACAGTAGGCAGTGAGAAATTAGGTAACTGGAAATGAAAAGGAAACTCCTAGTATAATGCCTGTCCCAAAGTCCACTGGTAATTGGTATGTGACTCTTTCCTTATCAATGGAGATCAATGCCCCATGCTTGTGTGAAGGGAGAGGCAGAGTTAGAGCAGGAAAGGAGGGAGATTCTTCAGTCTTCTTCAAGTTTCTTTCAGCTAGAGGGTCTCTTCAGGGTCTACAGCCCCCAGGCCCTTCTGACTTCCAGCTTTAAGAGAGAACGTGGATGATGCCAGCCCCACTTCTGATGTGATTGGAACTGGTAGTCTCCATCATGACCCTTATCCCCAGCTTTCTACACTAGAGACTTCAGGGAACTTTCCTTTGGGTATGATCTAGGACTTTCTCTCTTGGTTGAACTGAGTTACTCAGCTCCCAATAGGAGAACTACTTCCCTCTGTATTATCTGATATGTATATTGTCTCTGATTTGTTTCGCTACTGATTTAGATAAATGAGTTTCTTTTTTAGTTGTTATCCAATGTGGAGCTAACAGCTACTGGGAAAGGAGTCAAGCCTTGGATGGAGAATTTAGGGTCCTCCCGCATAATGAAACAGTCATCAGATGTTATCTTGAACCTGAAAATCTCATCCCCTGGACTAATCATATGGAAGGGGCAGATAGATGTAATTCTAGCTTGGTGCCTTCCACCTCCTGCTTCCCCTCCTGGTAGGAAATAAACTCTCTCTTTGAGAAGAGTGGGAGGAGAAGAAGCTAGAGATGTCTATTCTGTCTCCTTATGAGCCATAGACCGACACATTCGTGGTACATGTTGGGGATGGTCCTTGCTACACTGGTTCAGGAGATGGTTCCTTCAAATGGAGGAACCTAGCCCGCATGCTCACAACATGGTACAGTGGAAAATCAGTTTTGGAAGTCTGAAGACTTGGGTTAAATCCTGGCTCTGATTAATTAATTTCCTAACTCTGTGACCTTAGGCAAGTCATCCAACCTTTCTTCAAGCCTCAGTTTCCTCCTCTGTGAGGTGGGACTATTTGACACTTACACCACCTATTCCACAGGGTTACTGGGAATAAAATACTTTGTAAACCTCCCTATGGAAATGTGAATGATTATTCAACATGGTCACAACCACTGATGCCTTGCACTTAAGAATCATAAGCAACACACACTCACAAACACAAAGAAACATAGGCTCTGAGGGGTTGGAAGAGACTTGTCTTCTAAACCAGCCATACATGAATAAGGATCCACTTTATAAAACATCCTACAAGGGACCAACCAACCCCATTTTCGGAGGCACACACAAAAATGAGTAAAGAATTTTAGCTGGAAGTGACCTTGGTAATTATCTAGATCATTCCATACCCCTCCCCACAAATCCCAACTATAACACATCCTGCATGAGGTCATTCAGTCTTTTCTTGAAGACATCTAGTGAGGTGGGACCATTTCACTTCTGGATAACTCTAATTATTACTACGTTTTTCCTGATATCAAGCCAAAATTTACTTCTTTACAACTTCTGCCTAGTCTCTCGAGGGTCATGCAAAACAAAACTAATCCCTCTTCCACACAGTCTTTCAACACAGCTCATATCAACCCCCTCCCCTCCTTAATCTTCTCTTCTGGCAAACATCCTGAGTTCTTTCAACAAATCCTCCTATGGCACAGACTGGCAGCCCTTCACCATTCTGACTGTCTTCCCTTGGGTAATTAAAGAATCACTGCAGCCTCTCTCAAACTGGGAGCCTCTGACATACCTTCTATAACATCAGTTTACCTATCATCTGACTTGCCTTCCCATTCTCCTCATCCATGTACAAATGCAGTAAAACAAAAATCCCACTATCCAGACCTTCCTCACTACGCTTTCTGTATTTCACAAGACGAAAACACATTAGCATTCCAGATCATCATTTACTAAAGTAAATTGGCTTTGCTATTAAAGCAGAGATCATTAACCACAGAAAAGGAAAACAGAATGGCTCCTGCGTAGGCACCCATACTAATGTCATTAGAGTATTTCTATCTGGCATTTTTGGAAGCTATCACTGTAAAGTTTCATAGAGAACAGAAAATTACAAGTGATTTCTTCTAAGCCCACCCCTTCCCTAAGTAATCCCCAAATATAAATTGGGGGAGAGGCAAATATAGAAACAAATTAAAATCTTTAACTGGGAAATAGAGAGTATTTGCTCTTTTGCTACCTGTGGTTGTATATTCAGGAAGCCTGAACATTCTGGCTTTTGTTTGTAAGGATACTGTGAATTAATCTAACCTCAGATTGAG